AGCACTCTTATGCAGAAACACCTAATGCCGATGCAGCACACAATGCATATCCATGGAATATTGAACAAAGGAAACTTCTGGAATCTGATTTCAAATATCTCCACTTTCTGTTGTATTTCACTGAAAAAATGACAAGGAAGGGCCTGATGCCAATCCATTTGCTCATCCAACTAATCTGCATCAATATATAGATGGAAATCCATGGTCTTCCCGCCCACTTGTTATTTGAGTAACCAGTTTTGGGGTCTTCAGCACTCTAATGGAGAAATGGCACATCTGAGATATATCCCATGGTGCAGCAGAAAGTACCTGAGGATCCAATGTCATCCCAATTTTCGCGACAAGAATGTCCCTTAAACACAACTCGGCCAAACCTTGGAAGGTCTGTCTAGGTTCATCTTGAAGTCTAATAGAGTATACACAAGAAATACACAAGAAAGTAACGACGGATTGAATTACAAAGACTTCAAAGTAAATATTATGACTGGTATCAAATAAGTGGGAAGTTGTTGTTGTTGTTGTTTGACTTAAAATAGATTGTGAGCAATAAAATGGTGAGGACATGGAATGGCTATGAGGGAAAATGGAGGAGGCCATTTCTACTTTTGTTTGGACCTTTTTATTCTTTCTTTTTTTCAATGCAGTATCTGCACCCTGAAATCTAAACAGAATTCACTCTTAGCCTTCAAGATCCTTCCAAGCCAACTACTAGGTTTTGAAGGATTTTGCGGGATTGAAGAAAGGTATAGAGCCTTATGCTATCTCAGGCTATATTTAGGGCTCGATCCTTGACAGTTTAGCGCCAAGATTTGATTTGAGACGATTCAGAAAGTTCCTAGCAAGAATGGTAAGTAAAACAATAACAACTTCCCACCTCTACCGAATAAAGCGAATATTCAAATATTCGATCATCCACAGAATATTCAAATTTCTACCAATTTGAATATTCAAAACATATGAGCCGTTTTAATTGTATACGTTTGCATCTTTAAAATACATGTATATCACACATCAGTTAGTCAGCTACTTTATATAAATACATACCGGGGGCTGGACTAATGATTTTTTTTCTCTAAAAGCAATCAAATTGGATACACCAATGAAGTATGTCTCAAAAGAGCATTGATGTTCTTCCATTCATCTGAAAAAGAGAATTACTGAAATGGATCCATGCTATCAGAAGTTATACATGTTTTACCGTAAAAGAACCTTTCTTTAGAGCTGTCCGTGGAATGCCATTGGAAGCTATTGAACTGGGTGAGAATTACAGGTTACACACAGGCATTCAAATACAAAGGAGATTTTAATCATTTCATTCGGGACGGAAACATTTTTTTACTGTCAGGTTTTGTGTTTTAAATATTGATGGTGATTTGTCTCTGTTTTGAAATGTTTTCCTCTGTCAATTTTCCTCTGAGGTGGGAAAGCGTGAAATTTTGTGATCTTTATATTAAAATAGGCGTGTAGAGTATGCAAATTACGTGAAATATTCACAATAAATTATGTTCTTTATCCCTAGGTTATTTTTTTGTGATATGGAGCAAGCCACGTAGTTTATTTAATATTTTTCTGATTTGGTCACTTTCTCTTTGACTCACCCTGTACATGACTTCTTAATATTATAAGCTCATTGTGCACGAATTTATCGTGATCATTTGACCATTCAATTTCCGATCGATGCACGCGAATTTCAACCAGGGTGTGTGCACGTACTTCCTGGCAGGCATATGCAGCAATTTCCGCCAGGCACGAGCGATTTAAGGCTGGCGCATGTCAAACTTGTTGGGTCACTTGGGTGTGTTTCAAATACTCCAATAATCCACAGAATCCATATCCGATTAATCAAATACTAAATTATTCGGAATTGCACAGCCCTAAAGGATGTCTTAGGTGTAAGGGTTAAAAATGCAAGTAAATTTTCCTCAGTTGATGTTTCTCAAGGAATAAAGAAAAATAAAATAAAACAATTTTAGTTGACCCTGTTCTAACTTGAGTCAATTTAATTATACTGAGACTTCCAGACTTAAATATGATGTTAATAGCTTCATTCATTCAGTGGATGGACATTATCCGTGCAAATGGATTTATTAAAAGGAAAAAGTATCTCCATCCATCATTTTTCCACAAAAATATTACCATCTCCCAACAATTGTCCCTGCATTTATTTCTTGACCTTGAAAAACAGAAAAATTCTGAAATGAAGGACTTTCTCCTTTGGAATCAAATTAATCATCATTTACAGGGACTAGAGACGGACTAGTTTATTTACTACAGAATTTGAAAACAATTAAGGCATAAAATGATTCAATATAAACCATTTTTGTTTTTGTAAATGTCCTTAGCCTTGGGTTGTCCAGTGGTTTGCTATGCTTCTTAGAATATATATTATATCAAGTGGTATTGTTTTACATCCAGCCTAGTAGCCTTAGAATTTTTTTTCTTCATCAATGTACAAAAAAGGCTATTTTCTCCCCTTTCCTTTAGTACCTTTTTGTGCATTTTAAACGCTTTGTACAAGCATATGCTTGTGTAATTGCTGGTCACCGCTGGTACCTGAATGACTGACTCCCCAATTGACTGACTGACTCCCCTACTGACCCTCACTTGCGACTTGGCCTAGTTATTGGCTGGTGCGAGAGCGTCGGGCAGTGTTATTATATTGGATTATCCCATAATGGGCTAAATGCATTCCTAACCTGTTGAAGTTTCAGCTCAGTGGATATTATACTTTTTGAGAAATCACACTGACATTTCTTGATTTCTTAAAGCTATAGTCCATCATTTATAGCTATCCAAAAAGTGACCGACGTGATTATTGTTGAAAAACATACTTGGTTGAAAGATAGTAAGGGGACTAAACTCCCTGTGAAATTATTCTTTCTGGCATGCTGTCATTTTGAAGAAATCAACGAAAGAAGGCTTTTCCAACGGTGCTTCTTAAGACGCACCGTTGGAAATTTCCGTTAGTAGTTCATTTTTTTTTTATTCAGCGAAGCGCGCAAGCGTTGACACGAAGCACACGCACCGGCGCACCATCTATAATTCGTCGGATCAGTGCGCGACATCGCGTAGCTGCAATCGGCTCAGTAAGAACGTGTCTCGGATGCTGAATTCAGGCCCAATTCAAAACATGATTCAGCAACTTTTGATTTGAAATCGAGATCCTAGAATGCTGGTTTTTTTTTCGACATATACAGCTGAAGCTGAGCAGAAACTTCATCAGGTTAGTTGTTTAGCACCCTTCTTCAGATTTTGAGTAGGTATGTTGCTTCAAACGAACAAAATGCACAAATTACAAATGATGGACTATACTTTTACATGACAGCATGCCAGACAGAATTTCACGGGAAATACCTGAGTGCGATCTTTAATCCAAGTGAGCTTTTTGATAATATTTTGGTAGATAACTTTTGGGATAAATGCAAATGATCCTATATGCCTTTAATCAAGGAGTGGTGTTACTGTTCACTATGTACAAAAACAACTGAATTTTCAGTTTTCTTCCAAATTTTTGGGGAATTAAACATTCACTGCAATTGGAGCTTTCTGTATGCAGTACTGATTTGTCCTTGAGTATCCCTTTTTATTGGTCAACGTAATTTTTGATTCTTTTGATGACCCAGAAATTCTCCATTTGGTGTGGACTTCCATGAATTTGAACTGGCCAGGTACACCACAGTGACCAGAACAGTGTTTCATATTATTGCAGGATTTTCCTACAATATCATACACAGCCACATAAGGAAAAAAATGCTGTCTAAATAATCATCACAAATAACAATCATTCATAAAGCATACAAGTACTGATTAAATAATACAATTTACAATATACTGTGCAGAAGTATTCACAAAATAAACTATTACTGTTTTTTTTTTCAAAAAGACTGATGAAAATATATAAAAAATAATTCAAGGCGGGAAAAAAACAACACAAAAAACCCCAACCATAATAAATAATTCAAATAAAACTTTACATTAAAAAAAACAACAAGAAGGTATCTGCGTCACGGCACAAATAAGGTCATTTTTCACTTGTGAGAGCCCCCCCCCCCCAGTAACCTCTCTGGATCCGCCCTTGAAAATGTATCAACTTTACATACACTTCGTCGTGTGCCCGGCAGAAGGGCATATGTGCGTATGCAATAGCGGGTAATCACCAAAATGTTCCCAGCAAAAGGGCATAGGCAGAAAACTGTCTTTTTCGTCAGAAATTAATACAGGTTGTTCCAAAACTCATGATAAATACGTGTGAAAAAATTTCAAAATCATACGATTTATAATACGGCTGGGAGAACATTGGATTCATAATACATGTGGGGGAACAATAGAACCTTTCAGTGCAGTTTTGTTTAAATGATTTTTGCTTCAGAACGCTCATATGCCCTTCTGCCAAGCACCCAACGTCTTGTGAACGAATCTGTGTTCAATCACATGCTGCTTACATGTGACGAATGTGCATGCTCTAATTTTTCCGTTTTGACAAAGTGACAAATGTGTTAAGTATTTAATATCTCCCTAATTAAACATGCTTTTATGAAAAAGGAAACAAGATATGGTCATTTTACTACTGGGCTGTTTTACTCTTTTCAATTTTTGGGGAGAAATGTAGGCCTATGTGACAACACAGTTTGAAAAATCAACCAACTTAAAAAACGTGATTTCCTTAAACCTGGTATTGCTGCTGTGTGGGCAGATCCTTCACTTTGTTAAAATCATAGGAGTAGCCAGCGTAATTTGTAAAGAGTGCCCTTTTTTTTAAGAATTGCCCTTTCTTTCTGAACAAATGCCTTTTTTTTTTAGAAGTTGTGCCCTTTTGTGTGGCATCTGCCGTTTTGGGTGCCTTTTTCTGAATTTCGCACATGTATCGCCCTGAAAAGCACCATATATTGGCTGTTGGTGTGCATAATCGTCGGTTTTGAACAGCGCCCCCATCGACAGATGGTATCAAACCCCCCCCCCTTTTGATTTTATGGAGGCCCAGTGTCCAGAGAAAAAAAACCTGTCTACATTTTACCCCCCCCCCAATCAAAATGACCGTGCTACGCCACTGAAAATGATGTAGATATATTGCGTAAGTGGTACAACAAATTAAAAACCATTGTACAAAACATATGCAGTGCATAATTTTGCACATTTTGCGACAAATAATGTTAGAGCTGAAACAACAACCAACACCACGAACTGACACTCGGTGGTGTGCGAGTGCTCGGCACGTGTGCATATATACTTTACAATACCGCATAATTTTGGTTTTAATGAACTGATACCCAAATATCGCATGCGTGCACTTCGTACATTTCATTTTCATGAACTAAACCCATCTTAATTTCAAAGATTTTTTTAATTTAAAAGATACTAAATTACATGTTTCTGTAACCCCACAAGTATATGGACAGATTAAATTCATGTCAAAGTGTTTTTCTCCAAATCATAACTCCGCCACATGCTTGCGTGTCAGTTCGTGAAACCTAAAATTATTGATTACACGGTTCTCACGAAGTGCGCGCGCACAGTGCGTGCATTTCAGTTTGTGAAAATGGTGATGAAACTGCTGTTAGGCTATATAGGTACGTAGACCAAGTGTTTTTCACCAGTCAAGCTATCAGCAGGTAGCAGCAGTTATCTTCAGAGCCACAGACGGTTCTGACTTGGCCACCAGAAAGCGCAGTTTCTTGCCAGATGTCCTGATCAGTTGCATGGCACTGCAGCAAAACAAGAAAAAGTAAGTGATATAGAGAACAGACATACGCTAATGCTAAATACATTTTATCCTTTCATCCATCTTAATGATTTTAAGGCCTCTTAATTTATTCCACCGCCAACATATTTTCGTAAACACTGTATACGCAGTATTGTCCGAGGGCTTGCTTGAGAAACAATTCACAAAAGGGGAAAAGAAACTTGAATTCTCCCTGATGCAAATTCCATCCTGTAAACAGTTTGGTTGTGGTACCTGCTGCTATATCAGGGGCGGATTCAGGAATTTTCAAAGGTTTGTTTTTTTCATCAGCAAACAATTCGGAAAGGTAGGAACGTTTTTTTCTCAGGACACTTGGCCTCCGAAAATCAATAGGTAGGGGGGGGGGGGGGGCTCATGCCAAACTTTCAATGAGGGTGCTGTTCAAGTCCGACGATTATCAACCCTATATTACAAAATATTGTACAAATACCAAGCTGGCTCTGTCTGTATTTTTTGACAGAGCTGACTCCCCCCCCCCCCCATCGATGCCTGTATATCAAATTTGAACCATTATAGAGCTGACTCCCCCCCCCCCCCCATCAATGCCTGTATATCAAATTTGAACCAGCCAGCTGACCCTGTCAAGCTTGGTGGTCAAATGGTAAGACGTCTTCACTAGTAAGCAGGAGGTCATGGGTGCAAGTCCCACTCGAGTAAGCTTTTGAATATTTTCTTGCAAGCCCTCGGACAACACCGAATAAACAGTGTTTATAAAATATGTTGGTAAAGTGAAAAAAAAGGATTTAAAGTTACAGCTCCCTAATATACATGTTCATCTTTATACAAGATAGTTGTGTGCATAAGCAGAGTTTGTGCCGTCAGTCTCAAGAACTGACAGTACTTACTTAGCGACTTGTTTCAGACCCATTATATGAGATTTTGTCACAATGCATGTATTTTGACAAAATCCTTTATACTTGGCAAACACAGGTCTGCTATTTCTCATGGTTAAAAGTTAGTTTATTTTTCAAGTTACACTGTCCTGTGTAGTGATTTTTGCTGTCTCCAACAGCTTTCATAATTGTTGGCACATTTGCTCTGTTTTTACATTCAATTAGTCCCCCCACCCCCTCTATGGCGATTAAACACTTAAAAAATTAGGCTATTGCAAAAGTTGGGATTCTGAGCAGGCACTAATTATTCATAGATTGGACCAATCACAGCCAAGAGTTTTGACCAATCAGCAAATAGATTGAAGCACTAATGATATGCAACAGTGAAACAAAGCATGCACATGTACTGCATGTACTGTGTGGGTCATTCTGTCACAGCACTTTGAGCAAGCTGGATCAATATGTTTTGGGTTTCATTTATTAGTGAGTCTGAGTATATTAACCCATTAAGCCGACCTCAGGTCGGCCTGCGATTTGCTTGCGCCGCGATGGAACCGTCGGCATCAACCATGCACAAAAGTAATGCTCAGGTCACAAAACTTAGAAATCTTGTGATTATCATGGAACAAGCGGCATCTCGGCACAGAATAAATGCAACCATGCCCACGTCACCCACGACGTAACAATGATTCACAATCACATTAGATGATCAGGCTGTGTATGATGTCATAACTTTATACAGGTTGACTATGATTGATTCCCATCTTGTTGGGAACACGTTCCATTGCGGCACAGACGTTGACATTTTCTACTTTTGCGACTGTTGATTTTTTTGAGAGCCGAGTGATGCTGATCATTTTAATATCATCGCAGTTTAAAGCCTATTTCCATATCGAGGGTAAGAAATACAGAAAGCAACGCAAACAAAACCAAAACTGCAACGCAGACATATGGAAACATTTCATCCGCAAATGTCAAGACAACTCGGACAGACGCAAACTATCTCGCAGACGATCAGCAAAGTTGAACCCAGTTCAACTTTGCAGACATTTTGTCAAGTTTTCATATCGACATAAATGTCGATATGAAAACTTGACTTTATGCTCAGGTCGCAAGAAATCGACGACTGATATGTTCGTTGCTCAGACGCAGCTTGATTGTGAAAAGCCAATTGCCAACTGTTCTGTGTTGTCGCAGGATGCATCCCAAACTGTCTTTCCTATTACTCCCTGTAATACAATGTGTTAAATACAAGTGCTAGTGGTTTAAACACACGTTTCAAAAGCACTTTATTTTCAACAACATCCACATACCAGTTGTAATCGGCACCCACCAGACTGGTGCCGTTCACAGCCAAAATGCGGTCCCCAACTATCAACCTGCCATCCTTCACTGCCGAGCCGCCAGGTACCAGTTTGCGGACATAGATGCCTTGGGACCGCAATGAGGTGTGCTGTATGTTTCCATGGTGATGAAAACCAGAAAATGTGAATATATTGAATCATAAGAATGAAGTAATGAGACAACTGTTCACCAGGCGACAATTCCCCTGGATTCTTCAGAAAGACATCATTTTCAAAATGGTGGGCAAAGCTATAATTCCATGCCTATTTTATGATCAATAAGGGAATACATGCGTGCTTGGGAGGTTTTAAACATTATGTTTAAGACCGGTTGGAGTCTGGATGCTGATAATTACCTCAGCCGAAGGTGAGGGTAATTATCAGCATCCAGATTCCAACCAGTCTTAAACATAATGTTTAATACCGACCAAACACATTTTATTCCCATTTATAAATACCTTTATGGTAAAAAAATCCAAACTTTTCGGTCCGAAAGTCAAAACAAGACAAAAATAAAAAATGTCCAATGAATTTGTTCAACAATTTCACTTCATGTTTTTCGAAACACCCCTCTAGCTATATAATGGAGTGTCCAGCTCGCGAGTAAGTCTGAAAAAAAAACCTCCTTTTATGTAGCACAGAATGCAGCTGTGATGGTGCGTTGTGAATTTAGTACTATGAATACTGAAATCTCGGCATAACGGACCTGGACTATGCTTGCTAAAAGGTGGCAGCGGTCTGTCGAGCTACGTCACTATGCATGTTTGATAAATTTTCAAAACCATGCAAAAATTTTACACTTTTTTTCAAGTGGATATATTCCATATTGAACTCTTCATATACAATGATGACAACTCACCATCCCATCAATGAGTCCAAGCCCCACCCCCTCCTCTCCCTTCTCCAAGTCCACTACAAAGACCTCCTCCTCCGAGTCTTTTCTCTTCTGTGTCTTCCCTGTCTCCATGGCTAAGACAGATGATGCGATTGAGCATGCAGAGGAGACAGAGGATGTTGACGATGAAGATGTGAGAGTCGGGCAAGGCTTCTTGGGCTCCTTAAACTCCTCCGAATGGCCTAAAATTGAAAAAAAAATGATGATGCCAAGCACACTTGAAAAAAAATATTCATTTTTGTGACATTGAGGCCTTTTTTCCCCTTAAGCTCCAGAAACTGAATGTACAAATAACAAACAGTGAAGCTTGGCTTAAGATTGGTTGAAAGTCTGTTTTAAAAGCAAAATGAATGCAAAATTGGTGACACCACAGCAAGTATTTACATCTTAGGCTCGCTTATTCTTCAAAATGTTTGGCATTGATGAAGAAACAAACAAATAAGCTCAAGAAACAAACAACCCAACAAACAAGCAAAGAAGCTTAGTTTAAATATGTTCGTTCATAATTCACACGATCAAACAATGTGAAACAATTCGTTGACCAAAAAGGCAAATAATCCTGCTGCAACTTTGCAACAGTTGAATCTATTTCACCCTGAAGAATTCCATAGTGAATGTTTTAGTGATGTCAAATTCATGTTCCATGAAGTATGAACTGGCCTTAATTAAAGTCGGATTGTGAATATTATTTGTGACAGAAGCAAATTAAAGCAAATGCAAATTTATGATATGACAGATAACGTATGTACAAACGTTTTGTGATGTCAACTATGCTTTGCATGTGCACTTGCATTCAAGTATGAAATCAGGGCCTTTACCAAGAATAGTTTCTCAGGAGCAGTTTTTTTCCGCTGACATGCTGCAGGGAAAACCTATGGTCATAGACAGCAATGTTCATTTCAGGCATGGCTGTACATACGTCTAGCATACGTACCATCTGAACATTTTCTGGCTTCTTCCCTCTGCTGTTCCTTGATGGCAGTTCCACCATCTTGCGATGGGTTCATAGATTCTGGGGCTGAACTCTCCAACGGCTCTGTGGTCACAATAGCTGGGATGATGGCAGGACTTGTAACGCTATCCACGCACTCAATTTCAGAACTTGGATGGCAGTCTTTTGGCTCCGAGTTCGAACTCGTCATGTTGGTTTTGTCATCGTCTTTGACACGACTCTCCAATTTTGACACCGCGTTCATCATCTTGTTCGTGAAGAGTGGCTTATTTGTGAACACGCGGGGGCTCATTTTCTCGTTCTTTGAGAGAGAGCTCCCTTCTGAGGGTGGTAACTTCACCGTGTTGGCTACGGAAACGGGGGCGGCTGGTACTATCTCTAGAGGGCGCTTTAACACTTCCATGGCAGTAGCGGTCTCCTTGTCTGAGTCTGACTGGGGGTACCTGTTATGCATTGGAATCCACATTTAATTTTTGTAAACAATCAGAAAAATGTTCATATATGGTTAAAACATTTACACGTTCAGCCAACACTTAACAAATGTTTTGTGGGCATGTGTAGTCTAAAGGTAGAGCCCAGGCCCCATGATCGTGGGATTGTTGGTTCAAGCTCCGCAGGCCATGCGTGTTCTACCCTTGAGTAAGGTGCTTTACCTGAATTACTCTCTCAACCCAGGTGTTAAATGGCTACCGGCATTATTCAATGCTGGGAAGTTAACAGACTCGTTGTGGAGGAGGTGTGGCGATCCCCCCACAGCAGCATTTCATGGAGTCGAGTCTGGCCCAATCACTTCGAACGAGACATGGGCACTCCATTCCTGTGAACACAGGTTTGTCCCCTTTTACTAATGTTATGAAAATCAAATAGGTTGACGGGAATCCTTGATTCTTTTGAAAATGAACAGTTGCATAGTTTGGCCTAAAATTGAAATAGGCCTAAATACGTATTGGGTTTGAAACAACTGAAAATGAGTGTATGACGCCATATTTTTTCCCCAAATGTATGGGACAATTTGTGGTGTTTGTTTGATAGAACTCCTAGCCTGGTACCTGTTGGGTTTGGTGCGGGGCCGGGGAGGCGGGACAGGAAAACTGATGTCCCCACTGCCTGGGCTGGATGGCGACTTATTCCCAAGGTTTGGCATCTCAGATGAGGACTGACTCGCAGTGAGGCTGCTGCTGTCTGTTTTATCTTCACTTCCTGTGTATTGGCAATTGGCAAAAATTATGATGGCATTTTGTCATTAAAACCTGAACAGAAAGTGTTGTGGTGTGGGCTTCGGGGATGGTGGGGACAAGGAGACAACTTACACCCACTGTCGACATTTTGCCATTTGTAAAGAAATGAAAGCCGGTTAAAACCGTTTATATGAGTGGGGAAAAAACAGGCAATTGAACTTTTCCCGAATAATTACCTATTTTGCCAACCTCCCCAAGACCAAAAGCTTGATTTCAACAGACTGTTGCATTGCCACAATAAAATCAGTGGGTCGACTGATATTAACAATTCTAAAAAATTACAAAGGCAAATTCATGATAAGTTCCCATGCTGCCAATTTACAACAAAGTTAAACATTAATTTTTTCGACGCAAATGTTACTCTACTGTACTCAGGTACTTTGTGTTTACTTGCAGTTCTATGAAAATGGTCAGTAAAGGCATATCAGTTACCCAGAGCTGTAGAAGTCAATCACACGGCCATCTCAAGTCAATCACAAGTCAATCACAAGTCAATCGCAAGTTAATCACAAGTCAATTGCAAGTCAAGCGCAAGTAAATCCCAATCAATCGCAAGTCAATCCCAAGTCAATCACAAGTCCATGATAATTCATCACAAGTCAATCACAAGTGATATCATAGTAAAATTACAAAATCAATCATAAGGTCACAAGTACCAGGGCATTAACAATGACAAAAAAAAAGCCTTTTCCACATATTAATGCCTTGTCGCTTTGTCATGTCTGAACAGCATGTCTCTTGACCTGAGACTGGCTGACTTGTGATTAACTTGTGACTGCCTTATGATCAGCGGCGTAGCTACAGGGGGCATGGGGGGGGGGCACACCCCACCATAAAAAGCTTGCACCACCCCCCCCCCCTCAGTAGCCCCCCACTGGAATTTTGGCATCCAGAGAAAAGCTAGGCCGTATGAGTTACCATGATTAGCTGGAAGAACATAAATTCCCATAATCTGCAATTTTGTGCATATTTTTCACCAAAACCCTCTCTTTTTTAGAATGGCTGTTTATTTTAATGTCGGTGGAAAGCAATTAGCAGTACTTTTTGTTTAACATCAACCATGATGTAGGTTTTGAACAGCGCCCCCATGGGAAAGTTGATTTTACAGAGGGCGGGTGTCCAGTGAAAAAAAACTTTCTACCTGTCTGCGTGGATGAAATTGTTGGGTGCCCCTCCATTGTAACCTCGACCCTTGCACACGCCCCCTAGGATGAGAACCCTGGCTACGCCGCTGCTTGTGATTTAGGGAATAAATGTGTGCTCCGGAGGTTTTTATCACTCGTTTAATACCGCTTAGAGTCTGGGTGCTGATAATTACCCGAGCCGGAGGCGAGGGTAATTATCAGCACCCAGACTCTAAGCGGTATTAAACAGAGTGATAAATACCGACGAGCACATATTTATTCCCATTCATAAATACCTTATCCGTAAAAATATATCAAATAATTCGTTCAAAAAATCCCGACTTTGTTCAACAAGTTCACTTCATGCTTTTTGAAACATCCCTCTAGCAAAATAATGGAGTGTTCAGCTGGCGAGTAAGATGTAAACAACCCTTTTATGGAGATTGACGCGCGCGTAACATGTTCTGCGCGATGTCACGCAGAACGCACCTGGGGCGTTGCGTTTTGAATTTAGAACTATAAAATTCTGACTCGCTTGTAGTGTTGCGCATGCCTACGTGAGGATTGTGAACGTTCAACCAATGAAACGGTAAGAGGCACTGGATTTTTAGGAGTCCACATTTTAGTCCACAGCTAGCCATGTCTTTATCATCCGTTTAAGACCGGCCACGTGACGGGCTCTCGACCAATAGGAATAGCTAAACTGTCTGAGGTATTTATGAATAGTGATTGACTTGTGACGGACTTGATGATTAGTGATTAACTTGTGGTGGCTTGTGCACAATTGACTTAAACTCATTAATTACCCGTGCTGAAGGTGATGTACAGGAAACGCCTCTTCAACTCCTGCAATTGGTTTATAAAATGCTGGCTGGTGATTGGTTGCTGCAGATCCAATTCAAAGCCATGGTTAGGCAGCGCAAGGGCCGGGTGATTGTCAAATGGTTCAAGGAGGTTTTCTACAGTGGTAACAGAAAGGGTAAAAAATACATTACACTTAATACCGACTTTGTCAAGGAACTGTTAGGCCTACTTAGGCCTACTAAAGATAAGGAGCCAGGGGACAACGTGCATTCACCCACTGGTTGATGAACATGCCATTGATATATGTTGGCCCTGAAGGGACATCAATGATGTAAATTTATTCCAAATTTTTCTGGACATCACAAATTTTTTCACAATATCACACATTTTGTTCACGACATCGCAAAAATGTTCACATCATCACAAATTTTCGACATTGTAAATTTGTTTACGACGTCACACAATTTTTCACTGCAGTGCCATTTTGTTTTTAAATTTTGCGACATAAAATTCACGACACACATTCATGTCACGAATATTTTTCCACCAGGGTCTTAAACAGACCTTGTATCTCAATATCAGTTTTTTCAAGGCGTGCATTTCCTCTTTTATGTAGTTTGATGTGTAACCAATACTTCCTGGTGTGAGTAAATCACTTAGACCCAGTCTCTTGCATATACTCGTACATGTCACAAGCTAATTACACTTTGGCGACTTAATATTTGTCAACCGCTGTCCAGACGTCTAGATGGTTAGGCTTGACTTCAGCACAATAACCCACTCAATAAATTTGTACATGACAAGTGAGAAAAGTATGCTGTAAATCCATATTCAGTTTATGCAAGGTCAACATAAGACCCCGTTATGTGGTTGGAAAATATTCGCGACGAAACAAAATCATGGATTTCATGTCGCGAAATATTTTGTGATGTGGTGAAAAAAAATTGGGTTGTCTTAAAACATTTTACGATGTCATAAAATACATCATTTATGTATCTTAACCAGTTCGTGTCGGAGGACGGGCTGTTTTTATACACAGGCAGGGCTGACGGGTTAAAACATTAAGATTGCCTCAACTCGCCCCTGGGTGACGTCTAAACACGCCTTTTCTACACACACACAAAGTCCATGAAGTCTGTGGAGGCAGACCGTGTGTTAATCTGGAACGGGGTCATTGTGCACGGCCTATTGTTGTACAATTTACGCTCCAGTGCACACCTCAGAGTAGTGAAACATACCGTTTTTTGAACGAATTATTTGATATTTTTTACCGAAAAGGTATTTATGAATGGGAATAAATATGTGCTCGGTCGGTATTTATCACTCTGTTTAATACCGCTTAGAGTCTGGGTGCTGATAATTACCCTCGCCTCTGGCTCGGGTAATTATCAGCACCTAGACTCTAAGTGGTATTAAACAGAGTGATAAAAACCTCTGGAGCACACATTTATTCCCTTATGCAAGACATCATTTATTTCTGAAAAATAACATTAATGATGAAAGGGGAAGGCATCTCAATTAGTGTATTTTGCATTTTCAAGAAGAGACACTCACATAGGTGCCCTCTGAACGCGTACAAAACGTACTGGATGGAAAGGCGTAAAAATAGGTCAAGTGAGATTTCCTCCTGTTTTGAAACAGGAAGAACTTCTCTTGCAATTATCTTGAAAACAATTTTCTTCAAAATCCACATGTGTGGCTCTTTGTGAAAACGGTGACAAAATGAGCTTTTGGCAAGAAAGATGGTACTAATACTGTTGAAATGACTCTTGCGAATTTGTGGCATTTGGCTGTTTATCAGAAGTTGGCTTTTTAAAAAAATCTAAATTTTTGGCAAAATATTCCGGCGCGAAGTGGTTAAGGGCATTCATTTCTGGGGTTATACTTTTTCTATTAAATTTTTCACTTGTGTACATAGTGCCACACAAGGTACACCAAACAACCTTTGGTAGGATAAGTATACAACTTAAGCAGTAACGATACAGTACATGTTGTGTACGTTGAGATGAAAAGTGGTAAGACCTCCATAATCATGACATTATGACTAATGACCTGTGTCAGTGGCAGATTTCATTTCCTCAGCAGGGGGGTGCCAATGTGTTGGACGTGACTGATTAGTAGCCAGCTGGTACTGGCTCAGGAAGTGGTGAAGCTGAACGGTGTTGAGCTCGGAGAAATCGGACTGAAGCGAGCTCCAGTTGGCCTGCAATGGAAACACAAACTGTGACAATAAAACTGAATAAAAAAAATGACTGGGGCAGGGTTTGAACCTGCAACCTTTGGAATACCATACCAGTGCTCTACCAACTGAGCTATCCAGCCCTAGCTATGTTGGCGGTTCCCCATTTTGTCCATGTCTTTTGCTCAAGGGGTGCTAGTCAGAAGCCATAAACTTGTATGTGCCATGTAGCCGGGGATCACACCCGTGGTCATGATGCAGACCCGGGAAATAGTTTTTGAAAAGTTGAACAAAGAAATTGACTGGAGTGGGGCTTGAACCCATGTTCTCCTTTTGCCATTCCAGTGCTTTGCCAATTGCTGAGCTATCCAGCCCTATGTTGGCGGTTCTCCATTTTGTCAATGTTTTTGTTCAAGGGGTGCTAGTCAGAAGCCATACACCCGTATGTACAATAATGTGCAGTACAAACGGTATTACAGATAGAAAATTACCTCTGTTTGACATATTTCAGGTTTTAAAATGCAGGGTCCACTTCTTACTTTTGTTGAAATCTCAAAATGCAAATAGCACTAAAATTGATGTATTACTTACCGTTTCATGCAAAAAATGAATCTTTTTGTTTTTGCTTGATGACCAGGCATACAACAATAGTGCATTCGAGACTCTATCTTAAGGAGTAACTTTGAGAGGGTACTTTGGCAAAGAATCCGTAAACTGAGGGAACTCACATTATTCTGCATGATTTTACTATAAGGTGTGTTGCAGTTGTATTAATAAAAAAAATTGTGATAATAAAAAGAAGTTTTTGACCTATGTTCTCCTACCTGTATGAGCTGCACTTTGGGTGTGGCCAGTAAGTCAATTGCCATGGAAACCCTGGTCAGGAATTTGGATTGGTCCTGTAGGCCGTGGTCTTGTACCCAAGCTTCTAGCACATCCAGGTTGCCCCGAATCTGCGCTCCCTTGGACCACTTGTAGAACTTGCCATCCGCACCTTCCATTGGGGAAAGAAATGTTCTAGGCATTAAGACTTGGTTCAAAGGTAACAATGTCAGACTATAATGAGATGTGGCATTGGTTTGTGTTTCATGTTCCTGGGCAAGACACTTTACCATAACTGTCTCTCTCCACCCAGGAATATAAATGGGTAGTTGAGTGGGTAAAGACAGTTTTCAAGCCGCTGCATTTAGATTGAAGAGACTTAGTCAATGAGATGTACGTTTGACAGGGTTAAATATGACTTAAAATTGCACATTTGTGTGACATTTGAGTTGTGGAGAAAAAGAAACCACAAGAGTTGAAAGACCATCAACGTCGTTCAGTAATAGAATCATCTGACTGATTGGCCTTGTTCCAGCAGTCCACTTTTTGCCAAATGGGCCCAATTTCATAGCTCTACTTAATGGTAAACAATTGTGTTTGCTTATAACACAAGAAAATGGTTGCTCAGTTAAGCAATGAAATGACTTTGTATCTCGTCTAATTTTGTGAAAAGTAAACAAAATGGCAGGCAGACCCTAAGTAATGGCAAACTTGAACCCAAATCCTCTTCCTATTTCACCTTCGTCTTTGTATGTGATCATTACTTATTTGATAATTACAAATGTGGCATCTTCTCTGAAAGAAGTGCTCCCATTTTGAATGGATTTAGGCATTTTAAGTTATTTATTTTACTTAAAATTAAAAACTGTTCTCCATGGGGGCCCTAGATTAAAACATTAAAACAAAACAAATTACAGGACATTCAAAACTAGTTAGTTATCAAAAATGCATACATTGATTTTAAATTAATAATAGAAGATACTGTACATACACAGAGTGAAAATTACATATAACAAGATATGAATTCCAATTACAGATTGATAAAAAAGACATCAGAAAGAAACATTTATGCGAAGTAAGTCCCCATCAAATCCCTCAATAAAATTTTACGTGTCTCTCAATAAAATAAGAGACACGTACACATGCCTTAACTATAAAGATGCAGTTGTATGGCATGCTTAAATATGTAGTAAAATGACTTCCTATACGGTTAAAATGAAATGAAGAGTTCTTTTTCAAAAAGTGATTAACGTGTTTTTGTTACTTTTTAGAATCCCCCCTCTCATGGCTGCCCAAAGTAATTTTCATCGGCTTTTATACAGTGAAACCCAATTTAAGAAAACAATAAAGCAGAAAAATCAAGTTCACTGAGAAACGGCTGTTAAATTGTTTTTATTTTTTTAAAGTTTCATAAACGTGCACATTTTTCACTTTTTTTCAAATGGATATATCGCATTTAGGAAATAAATTCTTCTAATGAAAAATCTGCTAGATGCAGCTGTTAAGCATGAAAACAAGTTCTTAAGAAACATTTTCAAAATTGGGTACTAAATTACCTCTCTCCACAAGCATGTTGAACAGGGAAGCATTAGTGAAGAACAAGAGATACGCAAAGAGCTGTGATGTGATCTCCGGGTGCACCCCCAGGTCACGCATCAGGTCAAAGGTCATTTGGAACACCATCAGGACGCTGTCCATACCTTTGGTCTTGACGTCATCATCGTCCCCATCATCAGCAAATGGATTCGTGTCAAGGAAGTTTGGGATGGAGATGTACAAAGTCTGGGGAGAAAATTGGGTGCACAGCGAAATGAAGTCAGCAGAAAGGTTTAGGCAAGAGTTCACATTGCAAGCCTAAGCCAAAAGTGAGCAGGATTTGATGGTTGTGTATAATTCAATACGGAAATTCAATATGGAAATATACAGAGTGACAATAGATTACCATTTAACACTTAAAGTTGCATTACCCGTGCTCTTCAACAAATTTGATTTGTTTCTACAAATACATTTTCAACTTGAATGTTTTATTCCAACCATGTCCTTTTTTCTTTCTTTTTTCGGACGTCTGCAACCCTCTGAAAGAAAGGTTTTGTTGTTTTGGGCACAAACAGATCCACTTTGCGAGCAAACTGGCTCCCGGTCCATACGTTGACACTGAGCGTGGGACGGGAACCAGCCTACCCCGCGAGAACAGAATTATTGTCTGGCAGCCAATAATTCAAAAATTTCAAGTAATAATTCAATAACTAAACATGGGCCTTTTTTTCTGGTTGATTTCTCATTCAAAAGTGAATAACTTTTGTATTGCTTAATAGCAATTTAGAAAAGGAATCTTTGGGATGAAACCCGAAAAAAGCATGGGTACCACAACTTAATAAAAATTACATCAACAAACAGCACAACAAAAATGCAAAAGAGTATTGTACTCAAGTACATCACAAGTACATTACAAGTCCAGTCAAAGTAAATCAAGGAAAATCAAGAAACAGGGGTAGAACTGGAATTGATATTGGAGGATTTGTGATGGACACACGACTTAACAGCGCAAAAATCTAAAATTGATAATTTATTTTCTATTGAAAAACAGTTGTTATGTCATATTTTTAGTTGTTATGTTATATGTTAAGTCATATGTTTAGAGGAATAACGGATTTGCAGTTATACTCTACATAAAGTGCTCACATACCAATTTGATAACTATTTTCATTGCTGGTGTGACTGAATGTACTAACATGTAGTGTATAATTTGGGAGAATTTTTTTCCAGAAGTTGTTATGTGATAGGAAATCTTGCGGACACATTTTTTAATATTTGATTCCATTCCTTGAGTATTCTCACTTCAGATATTATTTTAAAATAGATTTAGAAACAACCGTATAGGGTTTATGTTACGAGAGTATGACATCTGCCTTTTGGGATTGACAGACAAAGAGAATATCACATCACATCAGTATATGTCTCATAATTGACACATAGTATTTTCATTAAGGCAGTAGCTCTATTATCACCCAAGCAACTACATTTGTTCTCCAATCAGATTTTTGACACAGGGTTCCTACTATTTTTAAGTGCACATTCTCACTGTTTACTAGCTTGACATATTTACACCAGAAGCTGGCTGTTGACCTAACTCACACATTATTGTTTGGTGTGAAGAGAAAAACAGTGTAGTGAAATTGTAAATCAAAGGATCTGTCTTGACATTTGCAATTGAAGTTTGTTCACGAAAATGTTGGCCTTGCTTGAATTTCAAAGCACTTCTAATCTAAACAGAGACCAATTTCTGTAACTTTTCCAACTGTGCTTATATACTCCTGGAGTTATTCTGTAGGAATTCCGCAATGAACAAATTCTGTGCTTGTAGCAACAAGTTTCAGAGTTGCTTCAATAACTGCTGTTATCCATGCCTCTTCCATGTGAAAATGATTTTCTGCTGGCATCATAACTTTGAACTTTCTGCTGGGATCATTACTTTTGATTTTGTACATTTCTCTCCAATCCATTCGATGAGCAGTTTGTTGTAGCTTCATTCTTCAAAATATCACACATTCAAAATTGCAGACAAATTTTAGTTTTATGTACAGAAATACTGAGCATGGGCGGCTGAAAATTGCTACAACAAATGACAGCTTTTAGAGATGTAGAGAGTGTGTGAGACAGGCTGTGCAAACATACTGGTACCGGTATGTAATCTTATTCTGAGTCTCACAATCCTTCTTGGGGAGCGAGCATCAAGCACTGTCAGAAGTGCAGCATTCTCTCCATTTATATAGGGGATAATTTTGTCAACAGCAGCACTTTCCTGAATTTGTGATTCTGTGTGATAATTGCAAGGGGGGCAGGTTTGAAAAGTACGAGAATGACTGAAAATTTGAGAAGACTTTTTCACCTTGGTCAAGTAGTAGACCGTCTGCTGAAACGTGTACATCACAACCTCCTCCAACTCAACTAAGGCCTCGTCCTCTATCCCCAAGCTGCTTTCAACCTCATCCCCATCAGTGTTTGGTCTGGTACCCTGGCTCATGGCCACATAGTCACCCATGCTGGACTGTAGGAAGTTGAGGATCTCCAGAGCGTTGGTCAGTAAGCAGACAATGAGCTGGAGGTCGGGGAGGAGTGCTTCCATGGCTGACTGGACATCACTTGGTCTAGAGAGAGAAAATGTACAAAATGTCAAAATGAGATAGAACTGGGCACAGGCTGTAGTGAAGAAAAACGCAAAAACTGAAAAGGGGTGATTTTTTCAATTTTCAGATATACTGATGTTTGTAGTCTCTTATGTTTCTACTTCACATATTTTTTAAAGAACTAGTATAAAATTGTGGAATTAGAGTGTTTTTAGGAAAAAAACAATTGACGTCTTTCATTTTCATGAATACAAAACTCGAAACTTTAAAGGCCTTTTTCTCAGTATTTCTCAGTACATTTTTGACATGTCGTGGATAAAGGCGAACTTTAAACAGCCATAACTTGTCAATCGAATGTGCTAATGAGATGCAGTCACACGTAACATACATGTAGATTACATTGCGTTTTGGCTGGTATCCTGTTGCTGCTTATAAAATATTTTCTGCGTATAACAAAGTTCTGTGTTTAGTAAAATTTCATGAAAATGGACCCCAGAGTTTTGTGAATAACCTTACTTTTCTGGTTGAGTCCTTGCCATTTCTTTAGTCTTGTCCTAAAGTGGAATGGAAAAGAGAAAGAAAAAAAGTAAGATAATTAAAATCAGAATGGTTTAATTGATGTCTTGCAAATGTTTTAATGAACACAATCCTGACATACTATTCTTTTCATTGTAAGATGGTAAAAATATTAACATTTTTATTGACTCTAACTATAAATCAATTGTTCCTTCACCAACTGTAGTGTGAATTTTTAATAACAATTGTAACAAAAACAATTTCCACTGGATTTCAACTAGACCTGCTGAATGTGGATGAAAAATAATTTGCAATCAGTTGGCAACTTTAGTTGAGTAGCAATTTTGTGTTTAATAGAACCAGGGATGAGAGCGTCAATTAACAAAAAAAAAGAAATCTGAAAATTGTAGAAATGTCTGAAAGAAGCATGTCTTTCGAATAATGTCTTCTCTCAGATTCAAACAGTCTGATTTTAATTACAAGTCTGACAAACCTCATGCCTGGTTAGAACCGCACTATCCAAGTTGCTAAAATGAAGAAAAAAAAAACTGAACCAGTTTTTTTGTTATGAGCACCAAAACACTCCCAAGAATAGAGAGTTTTGTCCAAGTTTTTAAAATGTACGTAACACCTAGAAGGTAAGTCCAAGAAAAGGTCCTCTTTTTGTCCGATACATTACACCATGATTTCTTTAATTACATAATGATCGCAACGACTAATAACATACAAATTCTTGTGGGTATTCTCCTTGCAGATGCCCAACGATAGAATTAAAAAAAAAAAAAACACTGAAATCCATGAATATCTTAGAGGGTTAAACTTTCATTAGGTATGGGACATAGCGTGTGAGAATTCTTGGACTTGCCCTGCACCAGATTTACAAAATGTGCTGTAAACCCTGAAGGCATGGGACATGCAATCATCTTTCTGTGTATCAACAATCACACATCCCTATTTCGATCTGTGTGCACAGAGATCCTACAAGTGGTCATAGAGAGAGATGCGCTTCAGCAGCAAAGTGAAGGATTAGGAGTCGCATCTGTCAAACACTGGGCACTTGCCAAAGGCAAATCAATATCCAAAACACACACAAAGAGGGATCAATGAATACGTGTAGCTTCAGGGCTCATGAATTATTGATTAGCAGCTCATGAATATTTAATAGATACCTGTTGGGCCCTATTGCTTCGTGGTAATCAATCAAAAAGATGCTTTGGGCCACAGGCCCTTTTAGATTTTATCCCAGCAGCACTCGTAATCTAATTGGAAAATCTCAATAACAATTTTTTTTTAACTGTATATATTCCTGATATTTTTTCCCCATTTATTTAAATGAATAAATGTTGCCACAAGGGACATGGCATACCTAAGGCTAGCACACAAATCATAAATTACGAGTGAACTGCTTTGTGGTATTTTACAAGGTAAAAAATTGTGTATTGTTTTCAGGTGGTAAACAAAATGTTAATTTTCTTTTTGTAATTGCCACATTTTTGAGGAGTGTTTTTGTTTAATTGAAGGATTGTCAGAATGAACAACTCATACTGAGCATCCCATGTACTAGACTAGAAAAAAAGAAGAACACAAAGTTGATCTTTTCCCATTTGTCAACTTTTAAAAGAAATTTTGAAAAGAAATCCAACCCAACGTCAATCCTTAATTTGCTAAAAACCACAATTTTGAAATTAAGAAGCAATCTGTGTATGTGCTGTGTAACATACAATGTAGTCACTTCGTCTCTGACTAACAATACCACTGAACGCCTTTATAAATACATTGTTGTCATAACATGTTTTTTCTAGAACTCTAGAATTTTTTGTTTCTTTCAGATTTTACCTTTCACCTGTCATCATATATACAGATTTTGAGAGGTTTATCATCAAAATCCTGTGAGATTTGTCCCCCCCCCCCCCCGACTGTCAGTACTTAACAAGCTGCATGGAATAACTGCACAATCCCAACAGTTTTGGCTGGTAAATTGTTAATGCAGGCAAACAAGTGGGCTATTCTAAAATATTTACAATAGGAACTGTGAAAGGCGCCCCCCCCCTTACACATTGTCCATAATTAATATCCCAATTACACGGCGAATGCAGGAGCACAATGGGGGCACATTGTGTCTGCCATTGGGAACGCTATGATGGTCTTAAGGCGTATTATCGAGTTCTGCTGTTCCGGCATAGATCAACAATTTTGAAACAGCGTGAGGGGTTGTCTATTGACAGAAAGCAGGAGGGCAGAATAAATGAAAGGACAAAGTGAAGTGGACAGTACAGCTCGGCAAGTAACTCAAGTACTCGCGAGTAGTTTTGCTACTCATTGTTCTACTCGTGTTTTTTTTTTATCTATTCGAGTACCAGGCATGCAACTGGGAATTTAGAAAAAATGATGAATAGAACCCCTCCCACAAGACTTTGTACTTTATTTTTCAATTTGTAATGGGCATTCATGAGAAGTTAAAAACGAGGAAATCAGTGGTTCTGAGGAAAAGTTGCATGCCTGGAGTACCGGTACTCATCCCAGCAGGAATAGAAGCAGGCACTCGCGACTAGCAATTTAGGGTTAAGGGTTCATGGCTTAAAACGTTTCCTGCAAACAGGGAATCACTCCCTCCACCTGTCTCCTCTAGGGTTTCATTCATCCAAAAAAGAAAATGTGTAGTTACTTCCTGTCATAAAAACGTAAAATATGTCATTTTTCTGCTTTTATGGGAATTCGGTAAACTACTCGCGAGTAATTACTTTGCGAGTACTCGAGTAGAAAAATCCATTACTCGCCCAGGCCTAGTGGACAGTATGTTATCTGTTTCATTATCTTTTTTGTCAACAGGTCAAAGGAAAAAGACATTTACAGGGAGAAAATCATGTTCAAACAATGTAGAAATAGAAATGTAAAACTTGTCATGAATTCAAAGCTATTTTACAAAGCCATTTTAAATCATTTCTAAGCAATGCAGTTTTTTCAGGAAGTTGATCAAAAAACCACTTTAAAGAGCTGCTTATTCCAATTCAAAAAGTACTTGACAAGGAAAAAGATCACAGAAACTGAAGAACATAACTTCTTTTTACTTTGTCAAATTGATAAAAAATAAGCTACTCATAGTTGTTGGACAAGATTACATAAATGAAAAGGTTTCTCAACACAAAGACAGGAAAACACAAAAAAAATTACAAATTTGTTCTGATACTGAAGCTAAAGGCTGAGACTAAACAACAAATATTTTTTTAAACAATGGACGAACATCCGAGCTGTGACACTGACAATAAGCTAGTATTACAAACATGTAGATATTGGTGATAAATATTTTGGAAAATAACTTTGTGCAGGCAAGTCATAATTTGAAGACAGAAGGTTTTATCTCCATTTTAGCATCGATCCAAACGGAAATTTATTCTGGAATTGACAAGATGACTAAATAAAAGGAAATTTATGATTTCAAAGGAAAGAAATCATTCACAGTGAGTTGGACACATAAGGGAATACAGGGGGTGAGGGCCAACAGGTGGCTCATGGTCCCCTCCCTTAACAAGTTTCAAATATTTAGTGGGTTTTTTTTGGAGGGGGGGGGGGGGGGGCGGTAATTAAACCAAAAGTGAAGTTAAAATCTCCTTTCCCTCTATACTACGGATTTGTGAAATCCCAATAAAGGAGAGATAAGAAGAAGGAAGAAAAGCGCACCCCAGCATCAAATGGGATCCAGTTATCCCCTCCTCTTTGAATTTGGAAAGAAAAGCTGGCACCCCCCCCCAACCAATCCATAAAAGAATTTGGTTCTTGATCTGCCCTTGGCTGTCCAGACATCAATAATTTATAAAAACTTATTCTTCGAATAGACATCAAAAGAAAAGGAGATCATGACTGTGTCTGTGAAATTAAAATTAACTCATAAAACAAAAAATAAACTGAACTTACCCAAGCCAAAGCTTGAATCAATGAAGCCACTTTCATCATCAGTCGTTTGGTCCTCTCCTGGTGGAAATTGTAAGCCGAGTGCTCCACACACATACAGGTCAGGTAGGCCAGGGAGAGAACAAACTCATCACTACCATCAATCTTGGGGGATCCTGAAGCAAGCAGCGATGCGATCCATCTCAGCAACTCATCCTCGTGTCTCATCGCGTAGGACAACTTGAGTCTCCGCTTGTCGGCTGAGTACTCCTGAGCCTTGGATGCAATACGTGGACTCGCATACTTTGGCTGGGAAACCATCTCTGGATTCGGAAGGTTGGTTAGATGAGTCCAGGAATCTGATTGGTTGGCAAGGGATAAGAGTCTCGTCAGTGGCGACTCGGCCGTCAGCTGGGCGAGTGGATTTTTCAAGAGGAACAGATAATGGTCACCGATTCCAATAAGGTCCCCGGTGTTAACTTTGGTTCTTTGTGAAACTGCGGTGCCGTTTATGAAGACTTTGGAGTCTTCGACCGGTTCCAGTGACATGTCAAAGGGATTGTGGTTTGCATTATCGTCATTTGAATTGTACTGTGTCAGGATTCTGCAGTGCTCTTGGTTAACGTCGCAGGAATCCAGCTCCACGTCTGCCTTTGCATCAGGTGTGTGCCCAATCAGGCAGGAGATGCTATCCAGGAGGTAGAGTATCTGATCAGATTCCGGGCTGTCACCGTGGAGGGTCAGCAGGTATGGGAAGTCCTGCGGGGGGAGAAGGCTGCAAAGAGGCAGCTGCTCATTACTGCCTTCGGTTTCCTCTTTCTCTGACTGGCTCTGGGAAAGCTGTCTTTGTGGCTCCTCTGACATGATTTCCTGCTCAGAGGAAGATGACAAGTCCTCTGACATCCTGTCTTGGTCTTCTGGAAAGCTCGCCAGGGATGCATCTGTTAATGCCCGATTGGCTCTGGTCATCTGCAGCCTCTTTGCGTTCAGGTTTATGCCGTGGGTTATTGTGTCCGTGTCTGGAACAGAGATATCAGCGCGGCGTCTGATCTCGAACCTCCTGGCAAAGCCAACCTCTGGTTTCCAGTAGGACTTGACGGCGAGTGGTCTATCGTCATCCCCAAGGACCCTCATGCACTCTGTGATCCATTCCTGTTTTTCCTCAAAGTCTTCAGAGATCCCTAAAATCCGGGATGCCTTCTCCGGGTTAGCCTTGTAGTAACCGATGACGTCACAAAGAACGTAATCCTCAAATGTATTGACGCAAAGCGAGTAACGCTCCAGCACCACCTTGACTAGAGCAACTGCCGATGATTGCGCAGATGCCAAGACACTCTTATAGGTTGCGTTTGGGCAGATCTTATCGCCAAAGATCTTCAGCAAGCCCGGAGCCGAATCCTCAGAGGCCACTTCCTTTACTGGAGTTGAAGCCTCGTCTTTTTTAAGGAGGGTCAGACCCCTCTCAAACATGCCGGACAGGGACTTTGCCCGGGACCTTCGTCGAGGACCCAGTCCCGATCCTTTTGATGACACCTTCCCTGGATTTCCTTTGTCTTTCTTGATGAAGCTTCTCAGGGGTCCCTCACTGGATTGAAACTTCCTGATGAAGTTTGGCGTGTCGGTCTTGAGCAACAAGCCGCCATTTCCAATGTTGCCTATACTTTTGGACCGCTTGGCGTAACTGACGGACAACTGGTTGCTGCTCTTGGTACTGCCGTTGCTGCTGAGGCTTGCAGTGTCAACCGAGTTCTGTTTCTTGTTGAATTTTGGTGATAATGAGCCAAACTTGGGTTTAGTAGTCGGACTTGTAGCAGTTGAACCTGCATAATACGGCACAGCCAAGTCGGCGCTCTCGACACCAAAGAATTGCGACAGGGATTTGCGCTGGGCAGCAGCACTGTTAGAATTATTTGAGACAGGCTGAGGGGCAAGTTGGTTGTCCAATTGAAGAGGCTCCATCTTGAGGACAAATCTCACGTTGCGCTTAGAGTTGACAGCGATATCTAGAGGGCGCTCTTCACCTGCCAGACGAATTTCATCTAAAACGGAAAAACAAAAAATAAAGTACAAGTTAAATATGTATGCTGTGACAGAGCTGATTTTTTATTTTACTGAATGAATCAAGTTAATATGAAAAGTTGAAAGGAAGGATGGAGGAAAAAATCTGTCCGAATTCAGATTTTTTTCCCAGTTTTATTTTGAAACATTTAATTTCAAAGTAATCAGAAGAACAGTTCTTTGACAATTGATGGGGCTACCCTGGTAAAATAAAATGTTAAATAAAATAAACAAATGATACTTTACAAATGAGAACAAAATATAAAAATGACCAAAAGTGACAATGCCACATCCGGAGACTATTGAAAAAGGATGGGGAGATTTAAGAGACATAGTCTAAAATGTCATTGTGGGGTCCCAAACATACAAGTACATCCTGTCTTCCATCTAGATACTACTGTACATGATACTCCATGGATATCAGCCCAGGAGATTCTTTGGGGGGGTGGGGGTACACACTTTGCTGTCAAACCTATTGTCCAGACGACTTGATAAATTGACCACTATGCCCATTATAATGGGAAGGCGGGGGATAGCAGACTTTTGGAAGAAGTTTCCATGCTACCTGCCCATTCAGATTGCCCATTTAATTGCCTCTCATTCAGTCCTGCACGCCGCGTTTGACTCTGTGAGGACTAAGCTCCGGATTACATGGGAAACGACAGGTAAAATATTGACAGTTTCTTTTCTTTAAAGAAGGGACTCTTGATCAATTATTCATGGCCTCAACAAAACTTCCTGATTACAAGCAGTAGTGGACCCGTTATATGCAAGTTTGCAGTTTTGTGATGTTCAGGCTTCGTTCTGAATTCAAAGCATAACTGACAGTTTTGCTGTTCGTGATATTTTATTTTGTAACTAAGTACGTCACTGATACTGAAGCTTAAAGTGACTATTCGTGTTTCCGCAATAAATTATCAAGGACAGGCAAGATACTACGTCCATGTTTTCCAAAATTCAGCATGGTTGCAGAAAGGCATCTTTTCCTGAAATAATAATCTCGGAAAGACGTCTGATTCTGTGAAATCCTATTTCGGAAGGACTTCTTGTATTTTGGAAGTCAACTCTCTGTTGGACTAGCCGTGATAATTTATCATGGAAATGCGGAATTGGGGATGATCGCTTTATGCTATATGAATGCAAATCTATTCTTAGTTATCAACTCATACACGCAACATCACATGTTACATGGTGCTACTGTAACCTTTGAATTGCAACCCACACAAGTTGACCATTGTGACCATTAGTGGACTGTCCTAGTTTGGCCTGGGGAGTTCAACTAAACCTTCTATTTACAGACTAAGACCGTTTTTGGTGTCAATGCCCACACTGAAAGGTACAAAGGTTTGGCAGTTGACAAAGGATAACCAAAGGCAAAGGGTAATGTGAAGATGGGTCAATATATGTCCCCAGGGGAAATGTTCTACAGGTATCAATGAATGCGTTGAGGGGGGAGGGGGTGGGGGGTGGGAGGGGGAAGCTACCACCCACTGTGCCCTCCCGTTCATTGCACCAGGGTCAACATTTGGAGAGGAGGGGTTGAATAGTCTAAAACAACCTCCTTGGAGGGGTGTAAAGTGGATTTTGCTGAAGTGGGTTTTGCTGCAAGAAAAGTTGTTGGAAATCATTGTGAAAAGCAAAGGCCTCTCTGGAATTTTCATTCAGGATGGAGAAATTCAAACCCAGCAGCTTAATACTATAGATAAAGTTCAGGATGGAGAACTTCATACGTAATTAGATAGGATGAGGGCCACACAGCATATAGACAGATGTCATCTCTCAAAAGGAATGAGAGATATATTTGTAACCAAAAGAATTCCAAGATAAAAAGTGTCATTGGCAAATTGTGTATATTTCATGCTGTGATCGACTGTTACATTCCAAGAAACTTTTATTTGTCTGAGGCATCTGAGTTCTGTACAATGATGTAAAATCAGGTGACTTCTGTTTGGTGCCCTAGCTCACAGACATAATTTTTCCATTCTGGGTGAAAAAGTAAGTCACACCTCCAAACAGGTGGGGAGGGGGTACTTGTAAGACTGCATATTGTGTTTCCATGTCAAGAGTGACAATATTCACTCAAAATATAACCAAATAAATTATTATAACAAGAAATGGTAACTTTGGGAGACATTCCCATAGACTTGTGCACAAACAATCCTAAATTATGACCCCTAACCCTAACCTAAACTTAACCAACCCTCACCAAACTTTGTAAATATAGGTTTTGCATAAAAGCAATCGAATAGGCTATTTGCAACATTAATTAATATCATCATAGGACTTGAAACATTAGGGAAACATTCAAATGTCTCCCTAACCTACCTTGCCTCCCTAATCTACAACTTTTTAGCAAAATGTGTCTCCGCAATGGGCCATATGGGTGAATTAAACTAACAACATGAACTGAATAATGAATATCAATTAGGGCTGTCCCGAATATACCGAATATTCAATCATCAACAAAATATTCGAATAGCCTTTTGCCAATTTGAATATTTAAAAAAAACACCCCAAAACAACTGTGATGTTATTTTAATCGTAAAGTTGCAGCGCTTCATTGTCAGATGCCACTTTTTTGTTGGCACTAACTTTTTGGTCGACGGCAGTTCATACTTCTCATCCTTTTAGCAGGTAGGCCTACTTATAAAATACTTAATGAAAAACACTTCAGCAGTCCATAATATCGATCGCTGGACGTAAATTTTAACCGGAGTGCTTTGCATGTAACTTTTGACCGGCGCGGCACACACTTGCAGCTGGCGTGTGTAAAACATGATCGCAGATTTTTTAATATTCAAATATTCAGTGAAACGCAGTTAATTGAATACTAAATTATTTGACAATAGACATCCCTAATATTAATAAGTCATTTTGGAACACATTCATACACGTTATTACACTCATGTATTTGCATAATTTGAAGAATTGTCTTTTATCTTCAAATGCAAATTTACACTAACATTTTGGGGACAAAAACACAGCTTCTTGATATGATTCAAAGTCCAGAATTTTAATCTACTGCTCCAGGTGTATTTTATTATCAGAAATACAGCAGCTGTTAAAATTCCACACTTATAAATAAACAAAACAATAATAATTGTTTACCAATAAGTAGCTGATAGTGGGTGAAGTATTTGAACAAAGAATTGTGTGATATTTTGAGCAGAATATACAAGTTCATCTTAACAGTTCTATTTTAGCTCATAATTCTGCTAAAGAGTTAGACCAAGCTCTCTGGTAAGACCAAAAAGTTGGTTCCTTACAAATACATGGACCTATTATACAATGACTTCTATGGTGTTTATTCATGTTTCTGTTCACAAAACCCAAATGAAATGAAACGGCTACATCATGCGCATCGCCAGGATTTTCTTTGGGGGGGGGAGGGAAAGCACATTTCCCCCCAAAAAGCCTTGAACTTTCTCTAGCATATACTCAATTTATCATTTTTTGGTGGGCAGGGGACATTTACCCATCCCAACCCATGCATGGATACCCCTGCAGACTCCCACTTTTTTAAAATGTGTATTAAATTAATAGCAAATACGACTTCACACCTCTTTTCTTTTCTTTTATCCCCTTCTTTTCTTCCTTTAAAAAACATTTTTTGGCTACTTTTTGGTCTTATACGATGGAATTTTGCGTCGGGGTGATATACTCAATTTATCATTCTCATTACTTTTTGGTCGCCCCCTTGACCCATCCTGGCGACGCCCATGTGCTATATGCAACCGAGAAACTTTCATAAATGTCAAATTAGAAAACATCAAGAAATGTAGACATGATTGTTGTGTGCCTTTTTTACAGTCAATCATCCGGTGACAAATTTTTGTTCTTATCTCCCCTAATTGCCCTAATGAGGCAGTAATTATCTTATCTCACTTAACTGACCTAATTTGACCATGATTACAACAATGTGCAATTGACATCAGTTAAAAGAAAAATCAGCTAACTATTCGAGTCTGGGCTTCTCCTGTAGGCCCCATTCCAAGTTGATACGTGTACTTTGGCTCACTGCATGGACGCTTGGCTTCATTTAATTCGCATCCAGATGGCTTATTATCAATTTATTGATCCGAAGTCATTTTTTTTTTATTGTCAGTTGGCCAGCTTCCAGACTGAAGTGTTTCATAGGCGCTCGAGGGCTTCTCGAATTAATCTTCTTAAAGTAGCACAAGGAATGTGGAGTGCCTCTCACACTGTTGCAAGCCTGCGCTCAAACTCTTGAGGTGTCAATGTCGCATTCAAAATTGCCTGTTGTGGTCACGTAACTCTGACTTAAAAGGCATATAGTTTCCAATAAGTACTCCACTCAGAATTCAAAGACGAATGCTCAAAACCAAGCCTGTTGAAATTCAGCTCAGTGGATATTACACCTTTTGAAAAACAGCGAAAAACCATGCACAAACTATTTGGATCACGAAACACGAATAAAGAGTGCTACTGGCACTCTTTATCATTCAATTCGTCACAGACACAACAAACTGACACTCGTAAGTTGCGCATGAGTGCCTGGCACGCACGCGTATTTACAGAACCGCGTCATTTTCGTTTTCATGAACTGACACCAGGCACAGTGCGGCACTGCATGCACGCACTCCGTATATTTTCATTTTCACGAACTGACACTGATCTTAATTTCACCAGTTAAAAAGGTTTTTAATCAAATTTTTGTGTAAGCCCACAAGTAAACGGATGGATTAAATTTGTGTCAAACCTTTCAAAGCATTTTTCTCTGAATTATATTGCCGCAACATGCTTCGTGAAGACGAAAATGGTTCTATTACGCTTCAGTGTTTGATGTGCACTGAAACTTCAACAGGTACACACTTTGCTTACAATTTTGAGAAAAATACAAATGGTCCTATGTACCTTTACGAATTCAAAACTCAACAATAGCATTTCAAAGTTTTGGAAAAATTCCTATTTTTATGGATTTATTGGCTTTTCCGCAAAAAAGCGGAAAAGCCTTTCTTTT